AACAAAAATAGGCTTAGGTATTTTTATTTAGTATACCTTTATTGACTGCTCACAGTTTATAGTACAGCATTAGAATACCCAGATATTATTCCATATTTATTTATCTATATCATATCTGTACCTTAAACCCATTAAATTTGTTTAAATTAATTAAGAAAATGTATAGTGAAATACCTAGATAGAAGACGTTTCTTAGTATCTGATTAGGCAAAAAGTATAACATGAAATGTGAGTTTTATTGTCTCTTGCTCAATGAAATATTCTTTTTGTTGTTTTTTTCCGAGACAGGATCTCACTGGGTAGCTTAGGCTGTCCTGGAATTCACTGTGTATTCAAGGTTAGCCTTGATTTGGGTTTCTCCCAGATCAACCCGTCAAATCCTGGGATCACAGGCTTATATCACGGTGCCCCCTTTAGTTCCTTTTTTTACTTTAATTCATTCATTTTTAAGATTTATTTTTATTGGTTTTTTGTGTGTGTAGACATGTGAATATACATGTGCATGCAGATGTCTATGGAGACTGTAGGAGGGCACTGGATCCACTTTTGTTGCAATTATAGGAGAGTGTGAGCTCTATCACCTTGAAAGTTAGGAGCCAAATCTGATCTTCTGTAAGAGCAATAACCATTTTTTTAAAAAATTTTTTAAAAATAATTTATTTAACTTCATGTGAATTGGTGTGAAGGTGTCAGATCCCCTAGAACTAGAGTTACATACAATTGTTAGCTGCCATGTGGTTGCTGGGAATTAAACCCAGGTCCTTTGGAAAAGCAGCCAGTGCCCTTAACCACTGAGCCATCTCTCCAGCCTGCAATGACTACTTTAAACCATTCTTTCCAACCCCGTGATTCCTTATTTATTTACTTGTTTGTTTATTTGAAACAGGATCACACTATCCCTGGGTGTCCTGGAACTCACTATGTAGACCATAATGGCCTTGAACTCACAGAGATCTGCCTTCCAAGTACTGGGACTAAAGTCTAGTATCACCATACCCTAACTTTAATTCTGTTTAAATAGATAGAATAAGGAAAGAACACGCTTCTCTCTCTCTCTCTCCCTCTTTCTCTATTTTGTTTTTTGAGAGAAGGTTTCTCTTTGTAACCTTGGCTGTCCTAGAACTCACTCCGTAGACCAGCCATTTATTTATTTATCTATCTATTTATCTATTTATATATATATATTATATATATTATATATATATATTATATATATATATATGGTTGTTTTTTTTTTTAAGAGAGAGTTTCTCTTTGTAACCCCGACTGTCCTAGAACTTGCTCTGTAGACCAGGCTGGCCTCAAACTCAGAGATCCACTTGCCTCTGCCTCCCCAGTGCTAGGACTAAAGGTGTGTGCCACCGCCACTTGCCTTGTTTTTTGTTTGTTTTGTTTTTTGAGATAGGGTCTACATAGTTCTGGCTGTGCAGAACTTATTATGATACCAGACTGACCTCAGTCTCACAGAAATCCACCTGTCTCTGCCTCCCGAGTGCTGGAATTAAAGCCATGAACAACCAGGCCTGCAAACTGTACATGCCTGTGGAGACCTTCGGAAGCATTGGATTTCTTGGAGCTTGAGTTACAGATGGTTGTGAACTCCCTGACATGAGTGTGACATCGTGTACACTCTTAACCATTGAACCATCTTTCCAGCCAAGGAAAAAATTATTATTTTTATTTGTTTGTTGTTGTTGTTGTTGTTTGTTTTTTCCCTAGACAAGGTTTCTCTGTGTAACAGGTCTAGCTGTCCTGAAACTCACTTTGTAGACCAGGCTAGCTTCCTGTCTCTCCCTCCTAAGTGCTGGGACTAAAGGCATGAGCCACCACTAACTGGTTAGAAAGAATATTTTAATGTCTTTCCTAGCCAACTTCTTTACTTTTAAGTAATATACTTTGAATCTTCAAACTATGAAGTATAAAAATAGATACTTTGATTTAATAAATTGGTTTTGGTAGTATTTTTATGAATGTTAGATTAAACTGTTTTCCAAGATTAAAATTAGGCTGTAATATTGAGACTTAGTTGACCTTTGTCTAATTTTTAACTGTACAGTGAAGGCATGGGTGTGCAGCTGCTTTGGAAGTTTGTAGGTTTGGTTGCTGCTGCTTTACTCTGCATACAGAGACTGGCATGAGGAGCAGGTGTTGAAGCCTAACAGGAACCCAGTAACTGAAGTCTGTACTGTGAATGTGTGGTTTTTGTTGAGGTTTTTTTTTTTTTTTTAACTGTTATTTTTATAAAATAAGAAAAATGTAAAACAGCTTTCCTGAAGTTACTGTATGTGTATTAAATGGTCCTGTATTAGACATGGGATAAATATATTTAAAAGTTGTCCTTGCCATTTTTGCTTTCTTTTCGAAGTAGGACAGACTAAAGTTTTGTTGTCTCTTGGTAGCAGAATTGCTTGCAGTGTGAGCGGGCTCCTTAGTAATGACAGCACACAGCTCAGCAGATGCTCAGCTGCTGGAATGTGGAACATTGTATCTGTGAGCAATCCAGGAGAGCCATGATGTGGCTGTTTGCTGCATTTTTTTAAGGCTAGCTGAACTTAAATCTCCCTGCAAAGCAGCTACACCATCACATAGAATTGAGAAGCTCGTTTCTACACATCTCAGTGTCAATTTCTGCCGTAAAAATTTGATTTTAGGTGCCATTTGTCTGATATATCAGAATTACTTGGCTGTGTTGAACGATACATAGAAATATTTTGGTAAAAGGAAGCTGCACTTGGTCAAGGATTTTAACCACTGAATAATGAAATCATCGGCTCTTAAACTATTAAATTGATAAGGACCAAGTGAGTGCTTATGGAGGATATATAATGTTAAATATTCAATAATTAAAAAAAACAGTCCAGTGTTGGACTGGAAAGATGGCTCAGCAGTTAAAAGAATTGGCTGCTCTTCTAGAAGTCTTGGGTTTGATTTCTAGCACCCATATGGCAGCTTACAAGTGTTTGTAACAATAGTTCCAAAGGATCTGATGCCCTCTTCTGGCCTCTGTGGATACCAGGCACACAGGGTGCACAGATGTGCATGCAGACAAACCACCTATACACATAAAATTATAAAAAAAAAATTTTAAAGTCAAGTGTACAAAGTTTCAGTGCCTCATGTTCTTTAAAATTCTTTTAAGTTACTGAAGAACTGATTTGCAGCATGGTGATGCTTATTGAAGTATCGTATTATATACTTGTAATTTGTTATGAGGATAGTTTTATTGGGAGGTAGGGGCAGTCCTGGGAATTGAACCCAGAGACTTGGGCATGCAAGGCAAAGCTTGCTGAACTATACCAGCACAGATCAATATTAAATTAAATCTATTCAGTATACATACTCAGGCATGCATACAACCTACCATAAAAGTAAGGATTTGTAATTAGCTTAATTGTAACGATCATTTTATAATTTAGACATGTATCAAAACACCAAGATAAGGATCAATAATTTGAGAATGAGTTCTAGTCCAATAAAACTGTTTTAAAGATATATTTGAAAAGAGGGTTTGAGGTATCAAACTACAAATTTGTAACGTTCAAGGTTTGCAGAATATTTCAAGTTTGTAATGTTACAAGATTGCAACTCTTTAATGTACAAAACTATAATATATAGTAATAATGGATCCATTTACTATAACTTGCTTTGAACTAAGCTGTTTGTTTGTCTTCTTCCTTGAGACAGGGTTTCTTTATGTAGCCTTGACTGTCCTGGAACTCACTGTGTAGAGCAGGCTGACCTTGAATTTAGAGATTGAGCTAAGTTTTTTTTTAATCTTAAATAAAAATCTTATTATGTGTGTATATGATGCAGGGGTAGGGGGTATGGGGGGGAGCTACCTGATGCCATTGTGCTCTTGAGGACAGCTTTGTGGAATTGAGTCTCCCTTTTATCTTTATGTGAATTGGAGTTTGAACTCAGATATTCAAGCTTACTCAGCAAGCACTTTATGTACTGAGCTGTCTTGATGGCCCCTGTGTCAAGTTTTCAAAGTCAAGATTCCCCTAGGCTCTGAAACAAATTTTTAGAATTTTTATGAAAATCAGGTGTGGTCATGCATTCCTGTAATTTCAGCACTCTTGAGATAGAGATTGGAGGATCAGAAGATTAATCCTCAGCTATACAGTTTGAGGCCAGCCTGGGATATATGAGGCCTTATATCCACAACAGAAAATGACTGTTTCTTATGGTACTGCATTTTCATCTGTGATACCAAATAGCCCTGTAGATATTACATTAAGTGAAACACAGGCTCCGAAGGCCATTGCCACCGAGAGCTGCTGATGCATAGTACTAACTAATAAGTGTTGACATAGATTGAAGAGTGTGTGCCATGTTGTGTGCCGCATCCTTTGCATTACTTATCTCCTTGGGGCTTTACAACAACCAGAATTGGTAAGTACTGGCAGCACATTCTCATTTGCAAATTTGTAATTTGAATGGCTTCACCAGGGCTCATAACAGTGGGCTTTGTGAGCCAGGGTGGACCCAGATAAATGAATGGACTTGAGTTAGTCATGGTATTTCTGTGGTGGTTCTTCAAAACACTGTAGAAGTGATTAAGAACATTAGAAATTAAGGGCAGCAATGAGGATAGAATTACTCTTATTTTCATAGTGCTAGAGTTCAAACCAGGGCTTTTTACATGCTAGGCAAGTGTTCTGCTGCTGAGCCAAGCCTCCAGCCCTCAGGATGGAATTGTGATTTATCTGTTGGCAGCTGCCATATTACTTGCCTTCAAAATATTCAGAAAATTTGTGGATTTTGGTTTAACTCATAAGTAACATTCCATTAATTTTTAATCTAAAATTCTTAGTTTTCCCATTTCAAGCAATATGGTAACATTTTCTTTTTAGTAATATATTCCTATGGATGATGTAATTGATTTATTTCATAAGACTTTATATAATACTTGATACAGACCTCTTGTGGAAGATAAAAAAGTCTATTAAATAATGATATAATACTTCAGATCCGAGTATTAATTTTTTTTAATCTAGGTTGGTTTGACATCCACAAGTGCAGAACTGAGGGGCTTTATAGATCAGAATTTCAGTCCAACAAAAGGTAAGGATTATTGGATAAAAAATTTCTGGATTTAATTTTGTTGCAGTTCTCCTATAAAATAATACAATTATAAGAATTCCTTTGTGTACAATAGTTACATAGTGTTAGGATGTCATCACATACCAAATGAGTCATATGAATGTCAATTGTCTCTAGGAAGTGGAAGGTCTTTTTTTCTGCAATTTTTCTCTCTTTCTTTAGAGGTCTCAAAGCTCCTTAACCAGTGATCTTACTCCAATTGACACTATTAAATCTATTTTTTCTGTGTATGGTAGCATATGCTGTAGTTCTAATGTTTTGGGGGCTGAGCCAGGAGGATTGCTATGAGTTTGAGACCAGTGTGAGCTTTATATTCAGTTCCACGCTCTACTGGACTATAGAGTAAGTCTTTGTCTCCAAAACAAAAGGAAACAGGGTAAGAGTTGAGGGGCTCAAGGGACTCCTCTCTTCTCATTGTTTGTAGTCATTGGCTGATAGAGGAAGGAAAGACTTCTTCTTCAGTGATGTAGCTACTGGTAAGGTGCCCATGCTCCTGAAACACCCCTAACGGAAACTATTGGATCACTCCAAACCCAAAACAGAATAAAACAAAACCATGAAGTACGAAGAGGGCTAGTCGGGAAGGGAAGAGGATAATGGAGGTAGGAGGGAGACAGATGGGGGTCACAGGAAGACAGGTGTAATTGGGACATATTGTATATATGTACAAACTGTCACAATGAAATCTGTTATGTATAATTAATATTTGCTGATAAAACATTTAAAAATTAAAAACTGTTCCCCAATTTTCTGCTTTCAAGTTGTTTTAACTTGTAAGAAAATGCAGTAGAGAAAAATGGAATAAATATGTGTTTTCGAATAGATAAATTTCTCTAATCCATGACTTACTGGGGCATACTTAATATCAGAAATCTGATTCACCAACATAAGGACTTCTATGAAAACTGGCAACATCTTTATATCCATCTCTCTGTGCTATCTTTTAGCATGTAGGCCTACATGAAATAGTTATAGATGAAATGATAGGATGTCTGCAGCTGGATTCAGAATAATCTAATGTGAGGAGGGTAGACTATGTGGGCATTACAGATAAAGCAGTATTCTTTATAAGGTGATTGAGTATTTAAGCTGAGTGATGGCTATGTGGGGTATCATTTTTTTTTCCTGCTTTGTAAATACTTGACATTTCCCACTGTACAGGGTAGGAACAACATAGTTGCCATTGTATTACAGTTTTGAGAAAACACCAGCTTCCTTAAAAGATTTTGTCTACTTTATGAGATGTGCCATGGAGACTGCGGAAGTCTGTACTTGGTATAAAAATATCTAGCTTAATAAATAATATTAATAGTCTATAGGAATTACTCTGAGAGTGTTATAAAAGTATTTGAGAAATATTTTGTCTTGGTGTTTTTCACTTTCCCCCCACATGATGTCATACATAGAAAATGGTAATGTAACATTTATAAAATGCACTAGGGCTAAAAAAAAGGATTGTTAAAGATCATAGGTGTGATACCTAAGAGCTGTAGCCACTCCAAGCCATGGGGCAGAAGGAAACCAGTATCTTAGTACACTTAAAACTTTCAATATGTGATTGGGATTCTCTCCTTTAGTAACATACAAGTGCAGGTCAGGAAAACCCAGGAGCCACGGCCTGGATGAAAGGGGAAACGATAGTAGTGGGGTGGGGATGATGAGTGATGTAGACGTCTGGAAAATCAGGAAAAATACAGCAAATCATGAAAGGCAATGGTGACTGAAAACATGCCTTCAAAAGTCCCAAGGTAAGGAGAAAGGAGGGCTTAAGTGAGGCTGTTGAAGTGGGCATGTGAAGGGTAGAAAGGTTTGTTCTGGATGTATGGAAATCCTAGTACAGTTTAACTATAGAGCAAAGCCTTCTTAGCTTGCTTAACTGTATAGAACAACTGGGAAAGTTGGAGATAGAGGGGTCAGGTTTAGAAAAAAGGATTTATTATTATTATTATTATTATTATTATTATTATTAGAAATAGGGTTTTTCTGTGAAACAGCCCTGGCTGTCCTAGAACTCTCTATGTAGACCAGGCTGGCTTCAAACTCACAGAGGCCTGCTTGCCTCTGCCTCCTGAGTGCTAAGATTAAAGGCCTGTGCCCCCATAGTGCGGGATGTGTGTGTGCGTGTATGTGGTTTAGGCAGCCATGTTGTTGAGGTATCATGGGTGTAGCTTCCCTGTCATTTCTAGGAGACATACTCTTAGAGCAGACTTCCTGTCTGTTAGCTCTTACGTTCCTGTTCCCTCTTCTGTGATGTCCTGAGCCTTGAGTGCTGTTGTGTTGAATATGTATCCACTATTGTTGGACACCCCACAATTAGTTGTTTCCTGCACTTTGACCAGTTGCATTTTTTCTTAATGGTCTCTGCTGCAAAGGGAAGTTTTTTGTTTTGTTTTTCAGTTTTTTGAGACAGGGTTTCTCTGTGTAGTTTTGGTGTCTGTCCTGGATCTCACTCTGTAGACCAGGCTGGCCTCGAACTCACAGAGATCTGCCTGGCTCTGCCTCCCGAGTGCTGGCATTAAAGGCGTGTGCCACTGCCGTCCACCTTGCAAAGGGAAGTTTTTTTGATGAGCGGTGAGAGCTCCTCTTATTTGTGGGTATAAGGATAAGTAGAATGCAGTTCGGAGCTCTGCTGGCTTAGAAAGGTGGTGGTGGTGGTGGTGGTTCCGTGATCTCATTAGCCCCGGGTGGCGGTCAGGCTTGAAGACAAGCACTTTACCTGCTTAGCCGTTTGGCCAGCCACCAGCAACTCCAGTCTTCCTTCCTTTTTTTTTTTTTTTTTTTTGGTGGTTATTTTGGGGCTCTTTGTTGTTTTTGTTTTGTTGTTGTTTTGATTTGTTTTGTTTTTTTGAGGTAGGATCTTGTTAGATAGTCCAGTCTAGCCTGAGATTTGCTACATCACTGTATTAGTCAGGATTCTCTTAACTTCTAAGTGTGTCTATTTCAATTACACATTCTGGGTCTGGGGAACTAACCAGGATGAGTTGGGAGACCCCCTGGACTTGCTGTGAGTTGGCCTTCAGCCAAAACTCCATTATTCACCTGACCACCACAAGCCCCTACTGTAACTGGAGGGCCACAAGTTTCTTGGGACCTTCCGGAATCAGCATCAGTTCAGACCTAGGATCTAATAGACCCCTGAAAGTCTTGTTTCTTTTCACCCAGTAGTACAGTTACCCTTGAAAGGACCATAAGTCCCTCTGGAGAAGGACCAGAGAAAGGCTGACAGTAGGACTTTGAGGTATTTTATCAAGTCCTTCCTCAGGGGAACCTGGCTGTCCCTTCATTCAATGGGTTCTGGGTCTGCACGCTGGCTCAAGTCTGGAAATTGGTTCACAGGCTGAGATTCCCTTTTGTCATGATCCAGTGTAGCCTTTCTTTCATTTGTTTGAGAATTTTTCTGCTTATATAGATCAAACAAAAATTCAGTAGGCTTCTTATCTATTTCATGCCTGGAAACACCATGACTGATTAGCCAATACCGAAGGTCCATATGAGTCGTGTCACTATAAAATTCACTTTACCTGGGCTGACCATTATAGGTTAGGCTGTTCTGTTCATTGCTTTTTCTGTCCTGCCCCTTGGGATCACTAAGATCATCTTGTCTTTGGTGATTCAGTGCTGCCACCCAGCCCCTGCTCTCTCAGGCCCAATTAAACCCATTGCATTTAATTCATTGAATGTAGCTAGAATTTTCCTGCCTGGCCCACAGTCAGGACAAATCTCTCTCACCTGCCAGTCCCACAGCCGCTCAGACCCAACCAAGTAAACACAGAGACTTATATTGCTTACAAACTGTATGGCCGTGGCAGGCTTCTTGCTAACGTTCTTATCTCTTAAGTTAATCCATTTCTATAAATCGATACCTTGCCACGTGGCTCGTGGCTCACTGGCATCTTCACATGCTGCTTGTCATGGAGGCGGCTGGCAGTGTCTCTCTCCCACTCAGCCTTCCACTTCCCAGAATTCTCCTCTCTCCTTGTCCCGCCTATACTTCCTGCCTGGCCACTGGCCAATCAGTGTTTTATTTATACAGAACGACATCCACGGCAATCGAACCTAGCAAAAGAGTCTCCAACCCTAAGATATGGTACAAGAAAAGGGGTGAGTGACAGCAAGGCTCTTGCAGTGCGCGGGTACCCCCAGACCATTTTGCATCTTCCAGGATTAGTGAAAGGCATGTCTTCTGGGCTTTCCCATTGTAGAGGATTGGCTTTTAACAGCATACCCACTCTAGCATTGTAATTTCTCCTTACACAAACTTTTGACACCCTTTTTACCTGTGCAGGCTTCCAGATTAAACCTAGACTCTCCATCAGGACCAGTGTCAATAAACTCAGCCTGATCCAGCCATATGTTCCTTCTCCCATTATCCCACAGCCTTAAATGCCATTCCCATACATTCTCCAGACTTCTGCTTGAATGGCTTAGCAAACTCAGTAAGCTTTTTAGTAGTGTGGTGCATCTCCTCATGGACTCCACACTTTCTGCTTTCCTCTAGGAGCCCATCCCTTGTTTCTTTTCTTTCCTTTTTCTGTTTCAGTTTTTGAAGTGGTCTTGCTTTGAAGTCCTGACTGTCCTGGCCCTTGCCATGTAGACTAGAGTGGCCGTAGGTTTGCAGTGATTCTCCTGCCTTTGCCTACTCTTTGCTGGCATTATGGGTCCGAGCCACTATACATGGCTTTTTAATTTTGTTTATTTTTAAGATAGTGGTCATGGCACAGGCATATGGCCCAGCACTCAGGAGGCAGAGGCAGGCAGATCTCTGAGTCCAAGGCCAGCCTAGTCTATAGAGTGAGTTCCAGGACAAACCAGGGCTACACAGAGAAACCCTGTCTCAAAACGAAAAGAAAGAAACAAAGAAGAAAGCAAGAGACTCTCATACTTACTGGTCTAGGCTAGGATGGCAGGCCAATGAACCTCAGGGATTACAAACACATGCCACCATCCTTTGTTTTTGTTTT